TTTAATATATGTATACAATGCTTTTCAAGCTATAATTTTTTTTGATATTTTTTTAATAAAAATATGGTTCATGCTTTAACAAAAATTATATACATAAATCACACTCTCAAACTTTATAATGAACTTAGAAACATTCCAAAAATGCTTAACTAAATTTGGAGCTTTTTAACCAGAATTTTTTGGGTATGCAGTTAACAAGCTTTTAAAATTTTAGTAAAATGAGGGCAAGTTTTGAGCGGCTATAAAATCGCATTGATTTTTAATAATTTTCTTTGCTAACGTTTTTTGCGGTTTTTTCATATAAATAGCGAAATTTAGTAAAACTGGCGTTGACTTTTTTATTTTTTTCGCAAACGGTCTTGCGGATATTCTTCCATCAACAAAAGAAAAATTATTAAAAATCAATGCAATTTTTTTGCGGCTCAAACCTTACACTTATTTATTTTACTAGAATTGTATAAGCTTGTTAGCTGCATACTAGGGATGTGTAGTGGGGGGTTGAATGTCTGAGCGAAATCAAAGTTTAAGACATATATTATAAAATTTCATGAGAAATATTTTTGAAGAACATTTTAACCCATTAGCTCGCGCCTAAAAGGCTCATTTTGACCCTTACTTCAATAAATCCCGCAAAAAGCAAATTTGGAAGGTTGTTAGAAGATTGATATATTCTAGAAAATTATTCTCTGGTAAATTTTACTAGGGGTCTTCCCAGGTAAAAGCTTCATGCCACCAACGTAAAAGCCTCTAAACATTTAAAATAAAATATGAACAAAAAAACTAGTTTTTTACAAACAAAATTTTTAAATTTGAGTTTGGAATAACAGTTCCTTCTAGGCACAGATTTTTTGTCCCGATGCAGCAGTTCGAAAATCTAGTTTTTTTTTTTACTTGCATTCCTAAGACAAATGGAGTGCCACACACAGTGATGGCAAATTTAATCAGAAAGAAGAAAGTTGAAGAGTTGATTTTTTAGGAAATAAAGATGAAATTCGATTTTTTCTAGAAAAATTCGATTTTATCCGAATTTTAGCAACACAAAGTTCGATTTCAAAAATTCGCCATTTTGGAGCTAAAATTCGATTAAAGTTCGAATATCGAAGCTTCGAATATCGAATTTACCCATCCCTACTGCATACCCAAAAAAGGTCTAAAAATGTTGGTTAAAAGGCTCGAAATGTAGATCTAAGTTCTGCACAAAATTTGAAAGTGTATATATAGTTTTTGTTAAAGCATGTACCATATTTTTATAAAAAACATATCAAAAATATTTAGCTCCAAAAACATTGTAAATATTGAAAACGAAACATCATTCATCCATTTTGGACCGTCACTGTAAGTGTCATTTAATGATAACTAAATCAACTTTATTGATTTCGTGCATAAATTTAAAAGTTTTTACTCGTAAACTGTTAGAACCTTGGGACTCTGCCTCGTAATTTTTTAGTGCGCGCACTCACTAAGTAAGATTTATTGAACAGCTTTGCGTAACCGTATCCATTGCCTACGTCGCTAGTCACTAAAGAATTCGGATCGTGTCGATTAAAAATACATACATATTTGATTTGATTTGATTTTATTTTATTTTTGAGAATGACAACTAAACATTTCTGTTCTATAGAAGTTTCTACGAATAATAAATAAAGTTAAAAAAAATAATCGAGATTTAAGTGAATTAAAATGTTGAAGAAACTGTTGTTGGCAATATTGGTGAGTTAAGTGTCAGTTGATTATTTTTATTTACATATTGTACTAAGATAAGTATCTATATTTAGTAACTTAATTTATGCAAACATTTTAAACTTAACGGTTGTAAGCGGAACTAAATGAGGGAGCGTAAACAATATAATTAAGGGAAAATTGGCTAGTTATTTGAAGTATCAATGCAATAGCACTATGTTACTCCCTCACTCAAAATAGTCGTGACCTAATGACAGCCAGAGGTCATTACTAGCCATATGACCATCAAACTAAATCGGTCTAGTGTAGATTTTTCCACAGATTTACACAGTCTGCCGACTATCGCAAGAGCAATGAAAGCAACATATTTTTTTGATTTCAAAATAAAAAACAGGGGTATAATTTTTTCGGTATAGTGGCCTAGCGAGTGAGAGTATTAAATTTCTGACTTTACTTTTTTTTTGGACCACCGTAATGGACATACATAGGTATGTTGAGTAGGAAGGTGTCTATGGTGATGCTTCTGTGGTAAAGAATCGGAAAAAATCTATTTCATCACGCTTTTAGACTTGCTATGGAGAGAACACTGCCTCCCGTTTCTGCAAATACTTATGTTCGCCTGGATAAAAGATTATCGTATATTACTTTCGGCAGGTCTTGGGAAATCGCGTTTGCAGTTTGGAATACAATTTCTCAAAAACGCGACGGTACATTTTCTCCGAAGTCTCGGAGAATGTTACTAGTTCACGAAACTCTTAAATTATTTTATTTTTATTGTTTATTGGTTATTATTTTTTAGTTTATGAAGGATTTTATTTAGAATTTTGTCGTATGCGCAGTGTTGCCAGATTTATTTTTTTTAATTTGTATAATTTCGGAAAAACTGTATTTTCTACAAAAAAAAAAACATTAACGAGATTTAAAAAAATTATGGTTTTGTAATTAAAAACGACGTAAACCGTTTATATTTTATTTAACTAAAAAATAGACTTTATAAAATGAAACATTTGAGCCTTGGATTCGATACCTAAAATTTAGTACCTCCTGAAGCATTTTTAAAGAAATCTTTAGTTCTTAAGATACCAAAGGGTTTTGGAATGTCTAGTTTATTTCTTGTTTTAACCCTCTACCGCATACGAACCCAAATATGGTTTAAAAATATATCAAACTAAATACATTGAAAAGTTAACTACAAATTACGGAACGTAATTGGTTTGCCTATGGTTATATGACATTTGAATATAACCTCATATTCGTGTGCACGGAACTCAACAAAAAAAAATATTTTTATTAATTCACACATCCTCTTCTCTGTCAATCAATAATTGGTTTACCACTACCCAAATGTTTTCTATTGTTTTCATAGAATTTTCCAAATATTTCTTTCCAAAATAAAATTTAAATCAAATGACTTCGAATCGTTTTTTTCTTTCGATATAGGTTTAGTAATAGGAAAATAACGTGTTTTCCACAGTCAAAACTTTTTTATTCACCTCCTGCATAATTCATGCAGTAGAGGGTCAAATTGATTTGGGGAAATATTCGTTCCCCATTTTCTTTGGCGACGGGAATACAAAGGACAGCTGAAACCAGTTGTTTCAAATGAAGAAATGCGGGACCTTCATCGTCTCCCTGTTATTTATCTTACAAAAAAAAATAATCGAAAGAAAAACTTTAATTTGTTCGTTCAACTGTACTTTACATTTAAAACGGCCAATCTTGCAACATTGTGTATCGACAGTAATTTGGCAAAACCTCGTATCTCAAAACACTCTCTAAAAAAAAACTCTATTAATAACAGAAAATCATTTTCTCGTAAGTTTTTTACTAAATATTAAAGATTAATTACTTTTTGTTAATTAAGAATAATAAATAATAAATCGTGGTATTTAAAGGCCAATTTTGAATTAATTTTACGAGATACGAGGTTTTGTCAAAGTACCGTTGGTATTTGTCAACAATTTTGCAGCCACTTTTTGTGATATACGACAAAATGTGATACAAATTTGCATTAAATTAACGATACTTTTTAATAAAGATATCTCGGAAACTAAAGGAGATATCCAAAAACAGCATCAATCGAAAAATCATATTTTAGAATATATAACTGCATCTATAACAAAAAATCGTCAAAGTGACGCTTACGATAATGGTTTATCCAGGCGACGATACATAACTGGGGATTAAAAAACAAAAAAAAAACGTGAACCACTTCCCCTTCACACTTCAGCTACCCAAAATGTATTACAACTAGAATGAAGATTTTAGAAACACCCTAATACATATACATAGAGATCTAAAGCTAAAATTCTTCATCAAACAATCAACGTTTTTCGCTTTTTTATCGGAGTCACTTTAGACTCGCCCCTTCAACTAAGCAACTGTCGCAAGAGTCGATTACGCCAGCAATATCACAGTGCTTTTACTTCGAAATCATTCTGGAATGTGCTTATCGTTATTACTTATCCTTCTGGGACCCATAACCCAGACGAATGAAATGCCCATTGTTACGTCCGTTGAGCTCAGTATAGACAAGTACTCGCCTACAGTTCGCAGATGCTGAGATATCTAATAACATGTTCTTTAATATAAATTCCTAGAACTTCCACTCGTAATATGCTTACGAAATTATTTACTTAATCGAGATGTGAGAGCGACCTCTGCTTTTCTCGAAAATCTGTATATCTGACTCTATGCTAGTATCCAATTTGGATTCGTCACCATAGATGGAAATGTTACCTCTTCGATTACTCTGCATTCTAGAAAGAAATTTCACCCAAAAGTTTGACGAAGAAAGGGTACTCGGTCTTACTCTTTCTTTAGGCTCAAATACTTATCGAGAAATTCATTGGTCGTTTCGGTATCTGAAAATATTGGACTATGTATATCTATCACGAAGTCTAGAACTTACAATGTTTAGGCTGGAAATAGAAGCACATAAGTCCATCAGTTTTTTACTCCATCTACTAAGGGCCGTTTTCTCAAGTAGCTTTTAGTATTTATCTACCCCTTAAACACAAAAAAAATGTGATTGCAGGGCAGATAAATTTTAAAAGCTACTTGAGAAAACCGCACTTAGAAGTGGATCTCAAATTCTTAAAATTTTTCTGGGTATCAACTTAAAGATATTTTAAACCCAGAGTTTCTTAATATGAAGTTTTTGAGTTAAAGACCTTTATCCTTGTAAGACATTTCCCTCGTTGCCCTTACGAAACCTTTTTATGAAATACACCGTTAATATAACATGGGTTTAAGAATTATTTCTAAGAACTAATTCCATTTTGACTTTTACTAATTACAATATTCGCAACTACTTTCAGGCCGTTCACGCAACAGGCATCATCACGGGACTCTCTGCCAATAGTGGCTCGGTCAACTGTGGCGGTTTGATTTGCCGCCCAATAACGGGTATCTTTACACGCGATCCGCTGCCACAAGATGCTTACGTGCATGTAGCCACAATACCAGCCGGTGCCTCGAATATTTCTATAACTGAACTGGGGAACAGCATAAATTTACTAGGTAAATAGAAGATATCTGGAACGAACAGCTGCCTCTATTTTCTACTTTTTAACTGTATCTTATTCCTTTTGTAGTGCTGCGCTCACCTGATCAGAAATATATATTCAATGGCGATAATATGGCATCGGATAGTGGCGCCTATGAGGCTTTGGGCGCAATTTTCGACTATCATCGTATCGATGGATTGCAGCAGGGCGAAGGCGTAACAGAGTGGATAACTTGCTTAGGCCCCATAAGAGACATGCTGGAGTTGATGGTAAGTAATTTAAAATCAAATACTCAAATTTCATTCTAAATAACTCAATAACCACTATAGATCTACAGCAAGTCCTCGAATCCGGGCATCAAATATGAGTATCTCCTGCCTATAACCTCCGATTCAGAAGAAAATGAACTATCCGTAGAGAGTGAAGCATTTTTGAAAAATGGTCCAGAAGAAAGTTTTGCTAGCAATTCGCGCTCGGGTCGACGTCGCCGCTTCAATTGGAAAGTGGTAGGTTTTAGCGCCTGTTCTAAGACTTGCGGTGGTGGCATACAGACACCAATTGTACGCTGCGTACGGGAGAATCCAATACGTTATTATTCACAACGCCGTTGCATGCATTCCGAGAAGCCGATGCTGAATGAAAATCTCCTGCGTTGCAACACTCAACCATGTCCTGCCTATTGGCGCATAGAAGACTGGAGTGAGTGTCATTGCCAACAGGGTGAGGGCTATCGTGAACGCGATATAAGTTGTGTGCAAGAGCTCGCTTCAGGCATTGTTATTCACGTAGACAATTCAGCTTGCATCGAAGAAATGCCAAACCAGCGTAAACCATGCGATTGCCCGAAGAATAGGCGTCGCTCACATGTGGCACGCTACCGCATGGCGCACGCTGGATCCAATGGCACACATAATCACCGTGGGCGCGATAAGACTGACAAGTCCGGTATTTGGCTAATGTCCGATTGGAATCAATTTTGCTCAGTGGAATGCGGTACAGGCGTAGAATATCGCACGATCTTCTGTGATCGTTCCAAACCGAACACGGATCGCTGTGATCCACGTACAACGCCTGAGATTACGCACCCATGCCAACGTGATCGTGATTGTGAGAAGGGTGAATGGTTCGCTGGACCGTGGACATCGTGCAATGGTAATTGTTTTAATTTAACACGATCGCGTCCCGTCTATTGCATACACAATCGGGAAATTGTGACGGATGAGGACTGTAAACCTGAGTTGAAGCCGCAATTGGTGGAAAACTGTCTACACGAAGAAGTGGAGTACTGCGGACCGCGTTGGCATTACTCCGAATGGTCGGAGGTGAGTGGATCCAATGGTCTTCAAATATAAAAAATTAAAGATTTCCTTTTTTTCTAAATTACAGTGTACGAAAACATGCGATGGTGGTACCCAGCGACGTTCAGTAAAGTGCTTGGAGTACGATGAACGCGAGAGTTCAATGCGTGAATCTTCAAAGTGTCGCTACTCATTGCGCGAGCCTATCTACCGCAGTTGCAACACGCACAAGTGTGAAGGTGAGCTATAATGGTATCTATTAGGGCAATCAATCCTGGGAACCAGAATCTCGGGATTGCGAGGTCCCGAACACTTTTCCATGCTCCGAAATCCCGGGATTACAGCTCCGGGACCCGAGACTTATTTGCACAATGTGGCAAGTTCTAGAGTCGGAGTGAAAGTGAAATTGTAAATGATAAAATAAATTTACGTGCATTTGACATGAAAAACGAGAAGTACGGAACACGGATGTTAATTTCAGAGCCTGCCTGAAAAACTTTATTTGCTCAAACATGTTGTGAAAGAACTGTGTAAGAACGAAAAAAATTGGTAGCAATTGAATACACAAGAAACTTATATAGTGTGGCAGAGTTGCTCTTCATTTTACTTTGTTGGCGTGGTTTTGGGGTTTGAATTTCTGTAAATATGAGTGTTTTTTATTAAATTGCATTATGCTCCGCATAATAGGCGGCATACACAGTGCGTCTGACTCGTGAGTAGGTTTGGATGTGTTTGTGAAAATAAATATGTGTTAGTTACACTAACATGAGTCCCGTGATGACTCTGAATGATTCAACTGTGTGTAGTCGAAGGCGAGTCAACACGTACAAAAATGACTCGCGAGTCAGACGCATCGTGTATGCCCCCTATAAGACCAAATGTGGCGACAAAGAATCTGCATGGTTTAATTTTTTGATTTCTGAGGGCGGTGAGCCTACTACAAAATGCAAACATTTTGATAAAATCGAAATCTAGAAAAATCTAGGGATAACCCTCAGTATCTATAGACATTGGGATATAAACGAGGAAAGTATGCAAGGAAAATTTATAAGCTTTAAAGACTATTACATGTTTAATGTATTATAATACGAGTATCTTTTATATTGAACTAATGTCAAATACATTTTTGATAAAGAACTTACATTTTAAGTTTTTCATCGATTAATACTCAAAATATTGATGGAAGGTAGGACATTGAAGAAAAAAGTATCAAATCACAAAAATTATATTACTTAATTGTAATTGCATATTTTAAATTGTATCGGAACTGACATGTATTCAACAAGTAGAACAACCATCAAGATGAAATAAATTTGCAAATTCAGTTTCACGAAATAGTAAATTATTTTATTTTTTATATTTGCTCCATTGGTCAACGATTTTGCAGGCACTTTGTATGACGGTCGTACGTGATAGCATATTTTACAGTTTTAACGATACTTTTTACAATGCTTTTATCAACTTGCAATGTTGTGTTCCAGAAACTTTCAATGTTGTGTTCCAGAAACTTTCAATGTTGTGTGTCCGACACCATCAAGCAAAGCTTTGAAAAGCTCCTATAAAAAAGCATAGTGAATAGGGCGAGGTAGATGACATCTAGATGTCGCCCTATGTACTACGATTGCTACACCGGAAATAGACGACACGTCATTTCTTTAAATAAAATTAATTGGTGCTCGTTTGTATGTACATACATATGTAAATGCATGTGTGTGCACCTTTCTATTAATATCGTTGAATTATTTTAATATCTATTGCAAAATTTTATTCAGACAGGACTAAAAAGTAGAAAATAAATAATATAAAAAAAACTTTTTAATATACAACGCTTTTATAAATGGACTAAAAAGTAGAAAATAATACTTCTCAGTCCCATAGAATTTGTTTTGATAACTTTTGATTTTGAAATTTTAGCAAAAGTCATTATAAACAATCTATGAAATTGAAAATGAAAAACGTGGNAAGCGTTGTATATTAAAAAGTTTTTTTTATATTATTTATTACTCAATATATCGAAAACTAAAAGATATATCTTTGTGTTTGGTTTGGTAGGACTGTATTATTAATTCAACGTTTACTAAATTGCCGATGGAATTTTAGTCAGTATATAGGAAACTAGGGGAGATGCACAAAAACTAATCGAAAAATCGTATTTTGAAATATATAACTGCACCTATAACTACAAATTGTCAAAATGGCGTTTACGATAATCGTTTATTTAAAAATTTTACAAAATAATCAAATTTTGTAAAAAAAAAGTTTAATTTTTTTTATAAATTCATTAATTTAATATTTCCCGAAAATCCCAAATAACACTAAGATGGAATTAAAATAAACAAAATCACCGAAATGCAAAATTACCCGCATATATACCAGTACCGGGGAAAAGTATTTGTGCAGAGGATTTTTCCCATTGTATGCAAAGGTTTTTATTCTAATTTCTTTCCCCAAATTTTGTATAAAATTATAGGTCATACTACAATAAAAATAATAAAAAAAAATCCAGAAATTTTCGCAAAACTCTGAAAAATTCAATAAAATTGCATAAAAATTAAATTTTAGTATAACAAAGTGCAAGTTTTAAGTAGCTGACAAATAGCGTTGATTTATGGCATTTTATTTTTGTGGAAGGTGTTGCTCATTTCCCCCTTCTTAAAAAATCGTCGAACATATTTTATATGGAAGAAAATTTACTTACATCTTCAACAAAAAATAAAAAGATTGCCATAAATCAACGCAATTTTTTAGCAACTTCAAACTTGCACTATAGTTTACAATCTGCTTTATTTCTACAGTATTTTCTCTTTAATTTGATATCCACACTGTGTTCCTACATTGCACTGAATTTTTTAAACAAATTTTTGAAATAATCATATATTTAAATTTCAAAGTCCTTTAAAAAAATTGTGACGTCAGAGAGAAAAACTAAAACCGCAGTTTTACTATATTTGGCTCATAGTTTAGCGAACATGTAGTATACTGCTTTTTTTTGTATGTAAAATTGACTGCCGCAATGTGTGTTATCTGTGCTTTCATCTAGGTATTATGTATTGCACACATTTAATTTTCATTACGAAAATAATCACACAAAATTGCTTTCAAACGACTCTGCATCATATTTCCTAAATTTAATTATTCATGCCATGCGGCGGCCTAAGAATATGCTCACAATTATACACACGTCTGACTGCACCTTTATGTGCGACCATTTTTTGCTCAACCGACGCCCAGTGATCGGACTTGAAAAAATCCTGTTTGGTAGAATCTGGAAAAAAATGTGGTAGATTTCAAAAAAAATGTGGTAGATCCAGTGTTACCGCTGAAAATTTTTCGAAAGTCGCAAAAAGTGTCATAGTGGAAAAAAAGTGTCTTAAAGTCATTCAAATCGTTTAAAGCATGGATGTAAAGACTTTCATTATTTTACTTTTCGAAACTCAGTATAGCATATTCATGGTCGAAATAAAATCGACTCTAACGTTAGATTTAGCTTTTTTCAACGGAAAATTTGCCAAAAAAGCTGCTTAGAGTAGACTTTATTTCATCTATGACTCTTCCCCATTATTTTGAATAAATTGTCAAAAATAGTTGTTTTTCTTAAAATAATAACCTATTGATGAGGGATGTATTAAAAAGACGCAGTATGCATATTTTGCATTTAGTATGAAAACTAAATTGCGGTTAAAAAAAGTACCTACATTATTAAATAAATAATAAATTTAACACACATACATTGGGGGAAATGCTAAGCTACAAAAACGATGCATTAATTCATGCTACGTCTGGACATTTATTTCAAAAATATTTGACATAATAAAGACGTTGAAATCAGTCCAAATCAGGCCAGAGGTATAATTTTTAAGTGCCTTTGAAAAGTAAATACTAAAAGCATTTTTAAACACAAAAGAAAAATATTATTTACGAAGGAATTGTCAAAATGTGTATATCAAATTTTAGATCAAAGAAAAGGGCAACAGTCGCATGATTTTTTTGAAAAAGTGTCAAAATAAGCATATTTTTAAAAAGTCGGTGTCAAGGGGCATCGATCTCCAAAAAGTGTCAATTTGACACTTCAGTCGCACATCGGTAACACTGGGTAGATCTCAGGCTTTGGATCAAATTTTGTACAAGAATTAAAGAAATTCTGTAAGGTTTCAGCTAAATTGTAAACTTTTTAATTACTCTAAAAAAAAAAATAATTTTAGTATAACAAAGTGCAAGATTGAAGGTTCCTCCATATCAAGATATTTTTCGAGCATAATTTTTTTTCAGCCTTGCGGAGTGCTGCCAGTATTTCTTTTTATCACATCACGATGTAGCGAACAAATGTGGCACGTTACAGATACCGCTACTTGGGATTTGCTGATTTTGACAATTCTCAAGTAAATGTAAACAACGCCTCAGAAACTTTAGATGCACTGAAATTTGCTAATACTTTCACAAAAATCGCCGTTTTTTTTTAATTTTCGCTATTAATTCTTTTTATAAATCATATATTTTAAAATTTAACATAATGAAACCAGGTTTGCTGTCGAAAAATTTATTATTGAGAAAATTTACGATTTTACAGTTTATTTTATCCTCCCATTCGGCTTTGTTTACTTTTACTTGAGAAATTTAATCGCTGCCGGAAATGCGGAATCTTGTTTTACATACATATATCATTCTTGTTACCATATAGTTTTTAGTGTTGGACAATTTTTGCTCTTAAAATTAAGAAAATTATGTCGAGCAAAAATAAAACTAGGTACTCAAAAACGCGAATATGTGGTAGATTTCAGACCTTGCGTGGTAGATGCTCAAAAAATTGGTAGATCTACCACAATGTGGTAGAAGTCCGATCACTGCCGACGCCTAATGCCCGCACATTTTGTAATCAATTATATTTTGAATTTTCTTTTACTTTGCTGCTTCATATTATTACAATTACTAATATTTGCACTAACAGGTCTATTCTGCTCTGGTAATAAAAAGTTTGTAACCGGTAATTAAAGTGTCTGTAAATTTTTAAACCCTTTTCGCATTCTGTGTACTCTTGTAACCGGTAAATTTTGTTACCATCTCATAAGCTGGTAACAAAGTATTGCCCCGTGAAATATGCAATGCCAGAATTTGCACAATTCTTCATAGCTGAATTACTGAATATTTTAACTGCATTACCAACGTTCCTAGAATCGCGGTGACAAGAACTGGTAACATTTTTTGGTAATAAAATTTTCCGGTTACCAAATCTTCGGTAACGTGCAGAATAGACCTGTAAATTAACTTAACTATTACTTTCACTACACTTTGTACAAAGGCACGCACTACTTGCTGACCGCGAACACAATGCGAAAATCGATTAACGACAAAACGCAAGAACTTCCGAACAACATCGCTGTGGGACAGAGAGTGGATGGTTTGTGTGGATGGGTGGGAGTGTGGGTGGGAGGGAGTGTTGTTGCTCATACACTGGAGAACTATTGGAGACGAAAAATCATTTGCAAGTTGTTGGTGTCTGAAGCGTGCACAAACAAAAAATTTTTAGGTCCGGCATGTGTGTTTTTTGCGGAGTCCTTTGGAGTGAGAGTAAGAAATACTAAGGGCCGGTTGTTCAATGTCTGGTTATCACTACTTGCCGGTTAAACATCATTATCGACATCTTCGACATCATGCATATAACATGTGATCGATAAAGCAGTCCTTGTATTTAACCGGAGCTTCTACCTCTGATTTGTGCTAATCAGACATTGAACAACTGGCCCTAAATAAGGCAAATTAACCCTGGAAGGTCATCGTTATTTTTATAACGCAAAGGTCATCCTTCGTCGATTCGACGACGGCATTTCTAAAAGGCGTTATTAAATTAACCTGTGTATCAAAATGCACAAAAATTATTATTTTCACATTATTTTGTTTATATATTTTTTAAATAAAACAATTGAGGGATTCACAACGGTGTCGTGAGTGTCGTATTGTTTTATGTCGTAAACTTTAAAAGCTTAAATAAATGTTTAGAGAACTTGAATGGACAACCAGCTATTTTTTAACATTGCAAAATCTCATAATATGTCTTTGATGATACTTTGCGAACCATCTTAATGCATTTTTTAGGCGTTTAAAGTTTACGACATACAACAATACGACACTTACGACACCTTTGTCAATATCCCAAATATCAAGTAGTTTTTCTTTAGTCTTTTGATTGTAATTCAAGATTTCACAACTCTGATTCATTTGGCTTTTTGTACAAAACATTAATTAGAAAATATAAAAAATAAATAACTTAAAGTACATATAATTCATTTAAAGTGTTTTTTTCTTGAAAATAATACTATGAACCAAAAAAGGAAAAAATTTTCAGATACGACAGTTCTCATTTTGTGCAAGAGGCTCAAAGCTTTATTTTATGCTCTCCACAGACACTTTTTTGGCATTTTGCACGGATGATTTGTTAAGCGTCGCTTAGAAGGGGGCCAAATTGCGCAATTATTTTTTTTTCTTCTTCGATATAACTTTTGGTTGCATTCATCGTGTGTTATAACTGCACAAGTAAAATATATATACAAATACAAAAAAAAAACTTAAGAAAATTACTTTGAAAACATCAACGTAAAACATACACAAAGTTCATCCTTCGTCGTTTCGATTACGCACATTTAAAAAAGAAGTACTTACACGAAGCGCATGAATCTAAGTAACCGCACACATCAACAGCGCAACACCGTCTAGCGCTGTACAAAAATTAGCACTATACAAACAAAGGAAAACAGCGATAATGGTAAAATAACAACTCGCGTCGTCGAAACGACGAACCATGACCTTCCAGGGTTAAGAGAACGATACACAAGGGAATTGAAATTTGTGATACATACACACATACATTCATACATACATATTTTAAAGCATCGAGCATTTAGTGAGTTGGATAAAAGTTTTTATTTGAACTAAATTAGCTGATTAAAGTTTAGGTTGAAGTAATAAAATTCGTGTTAGATCATTATTGCTTAGCTCTTTGAGCTAATTTTAAATTAAAATTTAATTTGTACCTACCTATTCAAACAAATTTTTCTTATTTCAGAACCACAGTTAGAGCTCCTGCAAAATGACGTTGCTGTCTCCTGTGTGGACGAGTTTAACAATTGCCAGTGGGCTGTCAAGGCGAAACTCTGCAGTTACGATTATTACAAGCAAAATTGTTGTTACTCCTGTGGTGCGGTCTAAAAAATTTTGAGCAGCCCAAGGAGTACGTAGGAGTACGTAATTTATTGTTTTTTTTTTGTTTTTGTATTTAGTATTTTTTAAGCGAAAAGTTTATAATTATTATTTAAAGCAGATAAAGTTAGGACACAGTTTTTTAATTTGTATTTTTCTGCCTACGAAAACGTTGCTAAATTAATCGATTCGAGTAAATGTTGGAAGTTTATCGAAATTTTTTTGGGAAATTAAAACTTACTTTCACTAAGTATTTTCTTAAGTATTTATAAATTTAAAGCTAGGCATAGTGTAGGAAAAATTTTGTTTAAAACATTACGAGGAAAGTTTTTATGGGAAGATTTTTTCACATTAGAATACATTGAATGTTAAATTTTTCGAACTTTAATTCAAATTAGATAGAGACATATGTATCTTTTGTTCTAAGCCACATTCCAATAATTAAACTCAAATAGCCGAAATTGTATTACAAAACTAACTGTAAAATTTAATTAACCATAAATAACACTGGTCGACGGCCAAAATTTACCAGAGACGCCGTTATGNACTTACAGTGACTTAAAGACCTGGCTCACATTTTTACTTTTTTTAATGCATGTTTTGAAAGTATTTTTTTTGTTCATGCTTTAACAAAAACCACATAAATCAAAGTTTTAAAATTAAAAAAAAAATTTATTTCAACAAAATTTTATCAAAATTTCGAACTTTTAATTCTAAAAATGTTATAAAAATTCAGATCCAAAAGATCAAAATTTTTCTGAAAATTTGTTGAATTTTTCTAATTTTTTTATAAGTTTGTAACTTTGATTTATACGGTTTTACTTAAAGCGTGAACAATATTTTTATAACAAAAACTAACTAAAAAATTTTAACTTGAAAAACATTGCGAGCATTTAAAAAATCGACGTGTGCAAACTTGTTTGAGCAACTGTATATTTTTTAGGTCTTTCCATTAGCATTTACTTCCAATGGCAATTTTCTTAATGATAAGCGATTTTTAAATTTATAAGCGTCATTATTCAAGATAAATATGTAATAACACCTAAATTCATATAAAATTTGACACGAGCAGAGCAACGCATACTTACACTGTCCAATATTTTTAACACAACCAATGCGAAATGTTCGAATTTTTAAACTATTTTTATTTATCATCATAAAAATATTTAATTATAAACATACATACATACGATATAAATGAGCATTTAAGAATTATTTGTAAATTTAACAAAACTAAAGTTTAATACAAAAATTAAAGTGCAAAAATAAAATTATACTAATTATTAAAATAAATAATAGATTTCACTCTTTTGTAAGAAAACCCAGAACAATTGTTTTATTTGCTCACCGAAAATCATTTGAGATAATATTTACAAATTTTTATTTTAATCCTTTAAGGACCATGGGAAACATATTTCCTAAAAGTTACTGCACCCGAAAAGAAATTGTTTGAGTTTTTAATTGTTTTATATACGTATCTTTTCTGTTTTTGAAGTGTGCCTCATATTCATTTAGCTAACTATTTTAATCATGAAATTATTGAAAAAGTTTTTTTAATTCAGAAACAATTTTAAAAAATTGTATAAATTTTTTTTCATTTACAAAAAAATATAATTTAGAAAAAAATACTGTTGTTTGGAATAAGTGTGTTTGACCAAATTAAAGCTTTTTTCGGAAAATATTATTTTTACTGGAAAAAAATTTTTGGTAATAAGAATTTAAAAAATAATATCAGTGCAAAACTTTTCAGACGATAAGTCGTTTTTTAGATTTTAAAACAAAGACGTTCAATCAAAATTTAAAAAATTTTCAACACTTTAAAATATGCTTTTTAGAAAAACAAAATTTTTGAAAAAAATTATTTTTGGGAAAAAATTATATCTTTGAAATAAAACATTTGGGGAAAAAACCATTTTTTGCAGGAAAATTTTCTAACTCACAGTTTATCAGCAATCGCGCGATTTTTTATTAAAAATTTTCACCTGCGGCGCCTTTTCCATAAAAATCAATACTTCGATAAATAATGAAATGAAATTTACAGATTTACAATCACAAAAAGCCGCTCTAAACCCCCATTATTTTTTAAGGCGGGTTCCATATTGGAAAATTCTCCCTTTAAAACTACTACGTTGGTGTTAAAAATTATAAAATTTTTCGATTGTCAAACGTTCGCTGGTTATCGCAGAAGCAATCTGTTGATCGTTTACTGTCCCAGTGAAGCGCGTTGCAATTATTTTTCATATATTGTTTCGATGACCGTGTGAACCAAACGCGAACTATTTCCGAAATAGATTCCGCAGGGTGCTGCAGTGGAAAGGGAAGGAACTACGAAAAATACCACTTTTAGCACATTTAAAAAAATGCCGCAACCATAACTGGTTTAACGTGAGTTTAAATTTTTCCATTTAAAATAGAGTTAATTATAAAACAATACCCAATAAACATTGTGTTGATCGTTTGAAAATGACCTTCGATATCCAATATGCATATCGAACTGAGAACGAACTCATAACCAACTTTAGTTTTCCAACGTTCATAGTATATTGGAAATACACTCGAGATGGATTCGAAAACTATGGAAACCACAGTAACCATAGAGGAAGTGAAATCCAGCTCATTCTCGATGATTGTCTCATTATAATTTTATTTAGATAATTGACTGGAATTCGAATTCATAACGAAGTGAAAATTCATTGGATAATGAAGATTTCGTTTTGCTGGAGAATGGCCTAGTTCTCGAATCGAATACTACCCTATGCCACATTCGTTATCGAAGGAAAGACTCGAAAACAAGATTCGTTTTTCAATAATTTTCGAATTGTTAACCAAGCCCAATGCTTATTGAGTAAAAAAACTCATCAAATTTTCACCCAAATTTTAAACTACTTCTCAGAAGCGCTAACATTTTTTTCAGTATACAGTTTTATTGTTCTTTAAATTGTAATTCAATAATGTGCAAGTTTCAAGTGTCTAGGAATTACCGTTGAGTTTTTAGAATTTTTGGTGAATATGTTGCGATTTTCTATCAATAGAAAAAAAATGTGTTTATTCGTTATTTGGAAGTAAATGCGACTATGAAAATGAATACAAAAAAATTTTAGCACTTCTGAGAAAAACGTTTGAATTTTGGATGAAAATTTTGATACATGTTTTCTTCAGTTTTCAACACTAATCCAGGGAATTTAATAATTTTTATGAAAGGTAAGACTGCAACCCGTCAGATTGAAGAATGAAGAATGAGACATTTGATTATATTTTAATGAAAATTTAGTCAATGCTAAAAAAAACCAAATTCGCCCGAGTAACATTTAATGATAACCATAAGGAAAGCAGTACCCTACGTCATTTATTTAAAAACAACATAATTTTGGGAATTCAAAAGTAGTATAATTAAAAAGTACATTTAATGACAGAATATGCTAAATTCCATACGTATTATTTTTTTTTAAGTTTTTTTGATGTTTCTCACATCATTGCTTAATACAGTGAGTTACAAAACCGTCATACGGGGATTTTCTTACAATATTCACAATGTTTTTATGCTATATTTTTTCGTCGACAGTGTATGATGTAACAAATCTTGGTAAATTATAATTTAAAATTTTACATATGTTTGTATAACGCTTTAAACTTGCAATTTATAATGCTATCACACACCACACCTCTAATTAATTTTTTATTTTTTTTTTTTAAATAAAAATTTTATAATATACTTTCATAAAAAATTGAAGAAAACACCAAGCATAAAAAGCTTGTGAATACCGTACAAAAATCACTTTATGATCGCTTTTCTAACTTACAGTATATCATCAAAGACCGGAGCAGCTGCTGCTCCCACTGTGTCAGTTTCTGTTTTCGTCAAAAAGTTTCTAGTGACCTGCAATATCATCATTCGGTAATCCAATTTATCAACTGTTGAAAACTTTCTAACGGCCGGCAACAAACTATTGAAAAAACTCAAATCTTCGTCGTCTTGTTTGTGCAGTTCTTGCTCTTTTAAATAGTTAAGCTTTTCCATCTCTATCTGCAGTAAAGCATCACCAAGGCTATCTTGTTTGGACCTTTTTGCCTTTGGAGGGTTTTCATCGAATGTTGAAGCCCGCGACGAACAAGGCGTAAAATCTTGGCGACATCCGTCATAAATTTCCTGAGGTGGAAGCACAAATTTCATTTCTTTCTCCCCTTCATCGTCAGCATCGTTTAGCAAGCCTTCGAATGTATCTTCAACGGAATTTCCAGAAGATTTTCTAGCTGAAAATTGATCTTTTAAAAACAAAAGGCTTCTAAAATATCTCCACTCGTGCATATTGTAAGCGAACTGGGCATCGCCTGCCTTCGTTTTGGGGATAGCAGTAAAGGTGGTCCTGAACTTATCACGCAGGCTTTTCCACCTTTTTCGTGCTGCAATTGCTGAAAAAGTTCATAGATCATTCAAATTATTATAAACATATAATTTTTTTAGTACTTATGTAGTAAAATGAGTATATATTTAACGTTAAACCGACTTATAACAATTTTTGATGTTTTCAATTTTATTATTACTGGAGTTTGTTATAGTTAGCTGTATACACAGATCGTCTGAAACTAGAGCCATTCGAGTGCCTGAAGTGCGTCGATCTACAACATTTTCGGCACTATAAAAGCTCTATCTCTCAATTTACTTTCACGAAACCAAGCACGGAAAATCCAGATACAATTACCTTTTTAAAAGATTAATATTAAAAAAATTAAAATTACATAAAATTTTTATATTCAATTAAAAATTTCAAAGTTTTTTTATATGAAAAATATTATGTTTTAGAATTTAGCAAATTTTGGTACAATTAAAAAAAATTTAAATTTAGTATTAGCTCCACTACTTTATTTATTCTCCAGTAGTATTTTTTTTAATATCATAGTAAGCCATGTGAAAAAAATTGTGCGACTTTCTTTCCTTGTGAATTTGTTTCATTCCAGAAGCATCAATAAATCATTTGAAGATTCACATGCAAATACATTTTGCCAATTTTTGTCAAAAAAATTAACAATATTTGATAGTTTCAGATCAAATAATTTGAAAAAACAAATCATTTGCTTTATTGCTACTACCTGTTTATTATGCCTTGATTTTTCCGTTACGTGAAAGAAAAATAAGCCCAGTCAAGTTAGCTCAATAAATAGAGGTAAGCTTACAATAATTCACATAAAGCTGAAAATTGGTAAGAGTGTTGCGAACACCCTTGGTGCAATCCCGTATTCCTCGGACTAAAACTAGTAAACTGTCAAAAAAAAATCGCTCAGAGCGAGAGAGTAACATTGAAAAGTACGGGATCGCTTTCTACTAAAACTTGGTAACTTCTATCAACTTCAACCTAACCTCCAAATTTTGGTTGCAAACTTTTGCTTATATTGTATGTAAACACGCTCAGCTCACACATGTAAATAACCAAAAATACTTTCAAATTCATTAGAATCCACTTAAACACGTTATTAAATACTTTTCAACGTGAATTAGCAGAGTTTATCTATAGTCCTGGCATTTAGATATTCATTGCTTTTCAAGAACTTATATCGAAAAAATGGCTTATATAAATAGTAAATAAATGGGTTTGAAACCTCCTTTTTTTAAAATGGCGTTTTTTTCTCCGACATAAGGATTTATTTTAACGTAGTTTGTAACTCTAAAGATATGATTAATTCAAAAAGTTATTTAAGAAATTCAATGCAATGTAGGATAAAAATATGGGTACCAAATGAAACAGTTTTTTTTAGAATTAAAAAAATTAAAATATTTTAGATTCGCAAGCAGGTAATAGGTAATTTTGTAAGCTGATAAAGTTAGAAGGACGAAATTCGAGGATGTTATCGAGTTTATATAAGTCCTTAACATATAATTTTTTCAAAAACAAATATGTATTGCGAAATTTCAAGGTAAAATTTTAAAATGATTGAAAAACTGAACCTGATTAAATTCCTCAGAACTTCCTCTTTAATTTGATACCCATACTTCTTCTCTAATAGCCGGTTTCGCCAGTAATTTAAATGGAAAATGGTTTTTTATTTTCTGTCAATTTTTCACTTAAATTGCTTTCGTGAAATTAGCTGTAAGCACATTTCACTGAATTTTTAAAATCATTTTTGAATTACTGTCGTCAGAGTGACAACTAAAAACGCAATTTTACTATATTTCGCGAATATCTTGATGTTAGTGTGTAAAATTTTCTATCGCACTGTTTTCTATGTATAATGAGCTACACATTTAGAAACAAATATTAATTATTAAATAAAACAAGAAAAGAAAAGAAATTACAAATCCCAAGATTATTTGCCAATAATCCCGGGATTTTCGGCACCTGAAAAAGGCCTNAAAAGAAAAGAAAATAAATTACAAATCCCGAGATTATTTGCCAATAATCCCGGGATTTTCGGCACCTGAAAAAGGCCTAGTATGTAAACAAACAAAACGAAATCTTCGAATTTTGGTATTTTATTTGGTTTTTGGCTGCCTGCTATGTGACTTTATGATAGTGCTAGCTAGTTTTCATTTCCACATACATTTGTTCCTGGCGAACATTGAACGTTCACTTTTTCATCCATGAAGGCAACATGAGTTTCTGTTTGTTTACACATAAAACATAAACGGAGTCAGTTGGTTTGTCTTCTTCTTCATGTCTTTGCAATTATATGTTCGGATAATTTTCTGTTCGTTTACTTTTTTCTTCTCTTTGGGAGAGAATTTTCGCTTACGCTCTTGATTTCAATAGTTGGCTGGTGGTGGTTTTTTTTGTTATCGAACACAACCATACACATACATACTCCCATAGTAAAAAATAATACACATATTTTGTTGTAGTGAGCTACTGGTAGTTGTTACAACTATGAAATTACACAACATAGAATAAGAGGTTTCCGTAATTTCTGCATACTTAGTTCAGTTTTTGTATTTTTTGAGTTATGACAATATTGAAGCAAATGTGTGTGCATACATACATACGTCATACACTATTTGGTAAACGAAAATGTCAGCATGATTAACAATATAAGCTAATAAATTGAATATCTATTATGAAAGTTTACTCACGTGTAGTTTTCATTTCAACAGCCACTTCCTCCCATAGTTTTTCCAGCACAAATATATTGTGGTGGTTGTTATTTTTTTTATCCCACAATCCGGGTCTCGCAAAAACTTCTTTTATAAGAACTTCAGTGTCCATGCTGACAAGAGCGACTAGAGTGAATAAAATTCCATCAGCGATTTTCTTGGCTCGTATCGTTACTCTTTGTTCACAGCTCTGCTACTAGATTAACACATACATATCTACATACATATGTACATATGTAGACATAATACCGATTTAAGATTTTCTCTGCTATTCTCGCAGCTCTCATCGTAGCTCGTAAACACACACAAGTGTGACCAGATGAACCTTTTTGAGGCTAGATTTGGCAATTATATTTTTTTCTGGCATCGGAATTTTAGGTCTATCTTGGTGAGTATTTTCTGACTTTTTTAATGCTCCACTTTCTATAAGTAATTTTCATCTTTTTATTACCCTGAGAAAAAATAGAGTTTATATTTAGAGATGTTAAAAAGTTTTGCTTTGAACTTTCCTCTTATCCTACCTATTTCTTCCCGGAAATGTTTGACTAATGAGACTATTCTTTGGAAATTCGAGCAGCCAAGATGTGAGATTAATTGAATTGTAATGGTAAATTCTTACAGCCAAACCTATGAAACTAAGTACGTTAATTCTGCTTAAAAACCAGTTGGTAAAATGAGAAGCTGTTGCTAATCAACACTTTAAATCAGGGATTTTTAAGTACAACCTTACCTTTGGAAGCTGTATTAGAATACCATCTAATAGCTCTTCCGGTCGGAAGCAAACGAGAAGGTTTTTAGGGGCAAAATTTGCGAAGCTGTAACGCATAGCCCAGCAGAAAGCACCTCACTTTATATAAAAAAATTGTAATAAATCAAAATTTAAATTACAATCGCTCATAAAACACATCAAATTGATAAAAAGAAGCCACCCCGAAGCGATAGAAGACGATGTAAACAAAACAAAAAAATCAAAAACGCTACTAAACCTTTTTTTCAAATTCGATTACAAATAGTACAACGATGGCTGATTGTGTGATCTGTAATCGATAGTTCATAGTATATCGGAAATACACTCGAGATGGTTTCGAAAAAAATAGAAACCACAGTAACCAGAGAGTGAAATGCAGCTCATTCTCGAAGCGAAATATAAGACAATCTCTCCCTCTCATTATAATTTTAATTAGATAATGGACTGGAATACGAATTCATAACGAAGTGAAAATTCATTGGATAACGAGGGTACCGTTTTTCTGGAGTATACCGTTTGCCTAGTCCTCGAATCGAATACTTAGCCATGCCACATTCGTTATCGAAGGTGGGACTCGAAAAAATATTCATTTTCCAATAATTTTCGAATTGTTAACCAAACCCAATTTTTATTGAGTAAAAAAAACTCATCGAATTTTTTGGCGAATATGTTGCGATTTTCTATCCATATAAAAAATGCGTTTATTCGTTATTTGGAAGTCAATGCGACTATGAAAATGTATACAACAAATTTTTAACACTTCTGAGAAAAACGTTTGAAATTTGGATGAAAATTTGATGCATGTTTTTTCAGTGTTCTACAAAGTAGAAACACGCAGGGATCCCGAAAATTATTCTTCACACCCAATAAATGGAGAAAGACAGTAATTCAGCGAATTTAGTAATTTTTATGAAAGGTTAAGACTCATCTGTCAGATTTTCAGAATATATGAGACATTTGATTATATTTTAATGAAAATTGAGTGAAAGCTAAAAGAAAAATCATTTCGTCCGATAGTTTAATGATAACCATAAGGTAAGCTACCCTAAGTTATTTATTTGAAAATAATTAACATAATTTTGGGAATTCAAAAGTAGTAAAATTAAAAAATAGATTTAATGACAAAAAAAATTTTAATTCTAGTCTACATTTGTATGTACGTACTATTTTTTTAAGTTCCTTTGATGTTTTTCACATCATTGCTTAATATAGTGAGTTACAAAATCCTTTATAGGGGGATTTTTTTTACAATATTCGCACTATTATTTATGCTATATTTTTTCATACATTTTTTATAAAACAAAGTGCATGAGGTAAAAATATTGGTAAATCCTAATTTAAAATTTTACATACATACATATGTATGCATAACGCAAACAAAAAATCGAAGGATATTTTTGGTCGCTTTAAACTTGCAATTTATAATGCTAAAATTAAATAAGCAATAAAACCGCACCACTAATTAAATTGTTTTTTTTTTTTTTTAATTCGCATATACAAATGTTTTGAATTGTTAAATTTTAAAGTTTTGGTTCCGAAGGTTTAGTCAAGTCATGCACTATACTTTCATAAAAATTTGAAGAAAACACCAAACATAAAAATCTGGTGAATACCGTACAAAAATCACTTAATGATCGGTTTTCTAACTTACAGTATATCATCAAAGGCAGGAGCTAGAGCTGGAAAACTATCTATGGTTTTTGACTATCGAAAACATCGATGGTCTTGTAATCACTATCGATAGTTTTCACTCATACATACATTATTCAGTAACATACATATTTTAGAGCGCATATGGTGCTTGAAGCCAAAAATAGTTGATAAGCTTTTGTTCCTTAACAAAAATATCGACAAATTCTGATCACATTTTCAATAAAAGTTGTTATGTTTAATTTTTGGACTTTTTCAATCAAAACTATAGATAGTACTATCTATGGTGTCGACATTTTCGATACTATCGATGGTTGTGACTATGGACTATTGAAACTATCGATGGCCATGATCATCGATAGTGTTCCAGCTGTAGCAGGAGCAGCTGCTGCTCCCACTGTGTCAGTTTCTGTTTTCGTCAAAAAGTTTCTAGTGACCTGCAATATCATCATTCGGTAATCCAATTTATCAACTGCTGAAAATTTTCTAACGGCCGGCAACAAACTATTGAAAAAACTCAAATCTTCGTCGTCTTGTTTGTGCAGTTCTTGCTCTTTTAAATAGTTAAGCTTTTCCATCTCTATCTGCAGTAAAGCATCACCAAGGCTATCTTGTTTGGACCTTTTTGCCTGTGGAGGGTTTTCATCGAATGTGGAAGCCCGCGACGAAGAAGGCGTAAAATCTTGGCGAGATCCGTCATTAATTTCCTGTGATGGGAGCACAAAATTCATATCTTTCTCCCCATCATGGTCAGCATCGTTTAGCAAGCTTTCGAATGTATCTTCAAGGATATCATCATTATTTTCGCTAACGGAATTTTCAGAAGATTTTCTAGCTGAAAATTGATCTCTTAAAAACAAAAGGCTTCTAAAATATCTCCACTCGTGCATATTGTAAGCGAACTGGGCATCGCCTGCCTTCGTTTTGGGGATAGCAGTAAAGGTGATCCTGAACTTATCACGCAGGCTTTTCCACCTTTTTCGTGCTGCAATTGCTGAAAAAGTTCATAGATCATTCAAATTTTTATAAACATATAATTTTTTTTTTGAACTTATGTAGTGAAATGAGTATCTATTTAACGTTAAACGGACAAGTAACAAATTTTGATGTTTTAAATTTTAGTAATACTCGAGTTTGTTATAGTTAGCTGTATATACAGATCGTCTGCTTTGAAGGCTACAATAGAATAAATAAAGCTTTGGGTTTATATTATTTCTATGTTATATTGTGTACTTGAGGGCTTTTACATTTAATTTTTAATTTTGAAAACCAAAGCCTACTAGTGGATAGATATTCCCTGCTAAGTTTCATAATGGTCATTTTGAAGCTAGAGCCATTGGAGTGCCTGAAGTGCGTCGATCTACAACATTTTCGTCACTATAAAAGCTCTATCTCTCAATTTACTTGCACGAAACTAAGCACGGAAAGTCCGGATACAATTAGCTTTTTAAAAATTTAATATTAAAAAAATTAAAATTACTGAAAACTGTTATATTCAATTAAAAATTTAAAAGTTTTTTTATATGAAAAATATAATTTTTTTAGAATTTAGCAAACTTTAGTACAATTAAAAAGACTCTTAAATTTAGCATTGGTCGCAATACTTCATTTATTCTCTAGTAATATTTTAAACGAATGTAACATGCTAGAGTATTAGTAAAATCAGAAACATTAAAATTTTCTAAATGATTTCAGTTGTTCCCAAGGTATATAAAACAGCCATTAGCATTAGAGCAAAAAATAGTCTACTTCTGTAAATATCATAGTAAGCAATGTGAAGAAATGGTGCGACTTTCTTTCTTTGTGAATTTGTTTCATTCTACATCCTTTGAAGATTTGCCTGCAATACATTTTTAAGAATTAAGAATTTTGTCAAAAAAATTAACAATATTTGATAGTTTCAGACCAAATAATTTGAAAAAAAAAANTTTTGCACTTCTATGTTCATTTTTTCGATTTCTGGTTTTCGATAGAGATGGTGATTTTTCACGATTGCTAAATTTTTTTAATATTTCAAATACCGAAAAAATTAACTGAACTCTCAAGAAAAACGAAAAATTTATATAAAACGACGGACGAGAAATAGAAAAGAAATTTTCTTCTACCAAAATTTCTTAAATCAGTTTGCAGTTCTCAAGAAAGAAAATGCTCGTATATTTATTCCCTCATGAAAATTTACAGCAAAAGCAAAGCGCTTTTTCAAGCAACAGAAATTATAATAAATATTTCTTAGAGCTGGCTTCTTAGCTTTAAGATACAGATTGTATTTGAGGTTATTAGCTTTAAGGGCGGGGGTTTGAACCCCAAAAGCGACCCCTTGTGTGCGCTAATGATCTACATACATATGTATGTAGACATAATACCGATTTACGATTTTCTCTGCTATTCTCGCAGCTCTCATCGTAGCTCTTATTGCAGTTCCCTGGTAAACACACACAAGTGTGATCAGATGAACCTTTTTGAAGCTAGTTGGCAAAATGAGGAGCTCTTGCTAATCAACACATTAAATCATTACTTTACCTTTGGGAGCTGTATTAGAATACGTTCTAATAGCTCTTCCGTTCGAAAGCAAACGAGGAGGCCTTTTTTGAGAAATGGATTTCAAGTAAATAATAAATTGGAGCAAGCATTTCGTGGTGTGTATGGTAAAAGTTAAATTGGTACTGCGTTGAGCGCGGCAGAAAAGGCCTCTTAAGACCGACGCGAAGTTTTGAGTGAAAAAATTTTAAAATAACTTTAATGGGTAGTAACGTCGTCTTGATTTTGTAAAATGCTGTTAAATTTTTCGGCATAAAAGTGTAAATATTTTTAACCTTTTCTANTGACGCGAAGTTTTGAGTGAAAAAATTTCAAAATAATTTTAATGGGTAGTAACGTCGTCTTGATTTTGTAAAGTGCTGTTAAATTTTTCGGCATAAAAGTGTAAATATTTTTAACCTTTTCTAACCTAAATTTAGCTTCATGTTTTATGATCTTCTGGTCACACTTCACTTGATACATTTACAAATTTCTCTATTATTATCGCAGCTCTCATCGTAGCTCTTATTGCAGCTTACACATAAACACATACACGTGATGCCTTCTCTTGCTTATCGTAACAGGTAAACGCTCAAGGTACATGTTGTGTGTTGTATATACATATGTATGTATATACATTTGTACATATTTATTATACAGTATATTTTGCTTTGCTGCCTTAATGCTTAAGTGCATATTTAAGATACCTACCCCAAAATGCGCGTCAGAGGCATTATTTTTAACATTTATGTACACATATGAAAACTGCTCCGACAAACAAGAAATACATAAGTAAATACGGGTACAGTCTTAAACTGGCTACACACGACGAACATCTGCGCGCACATATGCGCCAACATGCTCGCTGTCGTTTGCTACAGACGACGAGCGGCTCATAAGTGATTTTGTACTCAAAGCGTAAACATGGAAAGGATAGACGCGGATGATGCAATTGCCATGCTTTTGACTTAACTTTTTTATGTATGTGTTTCTTAAATTTATTTATATTTTGCTTGTATGTACGTACATACATATACTTATAGTAATTTAGCCTCATTTATCCAAAATTCAATTAAATAACATGGCTTGGATGCATTTATCCGCCGATGTGCACACTTCAAGCATCAACACAAAATGAGGTTGTTTTTTTCGTTTCCAATGCGATGCTCGCAAACCACGCTACAAACGACGAGCATGCTCGCAAACCGCCCTACAAACGACGAACATGACCCGCAAGCCGCGCATGTGCGTGGATATGTTCGTCGTGTGTAGCCACTGTAAGGCACAGAGCAGAGATCATTTAACATTTTTTGATTGCATGAATTATATGCATACATATGTATGTATATGTTATAAACCAATAAGTTTAATTCCTTAAAAGTAAATTTAAATCAATTAATTACACAAGCTAATCTTTAGCAGCTGACCACACATAGTGCGGGTCATTTTTGTTTACAAGTTCTTTGCATAATATTATAAATACTATTCATATTGTCATTTCTTAGTCTAGTTTTTATCAAAGAAAGCATTGAAAATTTGCGTTCTGCAGCCCCCGAGCTTTGTGGTAATGAAATTATATTAAAAACAAAATTGGCGAGATGCGTGGGGCATTAATTTCATTTTTAATAGAACAAACTTTTACCCAAAACATATCAATATCCAGATCGCTGGAAATATCAAGCTCACTTATTGCGATTTCGTTTTTACAAAAAATGTTCCCTTCTCATCGCCCTCTTATTAGTGTTTGTGCATTAAGGGAAAGGAGAAGGTTAAATTTTTCGGAAGAAACAAAATCGGCATTAGCCTCAGAAAAAATTCCACTGCGGGGTTATTATATCAGGATCGCAATCTATGAGATGAAAAGAGGTAAAATTGGTAAATCTTCTTTGGAAACTACCTTAGCTGGTGTTATTATTTGTAAAAGTACTATATCTTCACGCTTGAAGTCAAATCTTTAATTTATTTGGACCAACAACTCTTTGTGAAACTTTAACATATTGCTTTTAACTTCAAGAATTTCAGAACGATTGACATTACTTTTCATAAATATCGCAGCTTTCGGTCCAACAAAAATGTCAGATATATTTACAGTTACTCCCAAAAGTGAGCGTACGGCTCTTTTTTGTAAATATTCGCAATGTTTTACATGCTAAAATCTTTTTGGTAGTTTTGTATTAAAATATGGGTTATATTTTAGCAAACCCCATTTAAATCCAAGAATGAAAAAGTGTACGAAAATTAGGAAAAATCTGCAAATTTCATCAAAATCGCGAACTTTTTAATACGAATTTCTAAAAAGAACTCAGGTATGCAGTTGTATGGCCCTTTACATTTTAATATAATAATGTGCGAATTTCAAGTGTCTAAAAATTCGCGTTGATTTTTCAGAATTTTTTAAATGACTGTCCTTCGCATTTTTTTTTTACTGAATAGTAGTCCTGAAATTCCATAAGTTCATATATCCTCTTTGGACTGTAGGACAAGAAACTATATATGTTGCGGCACAGGGTCTCAATGCTGTTTTATTAGGTTCTTATTTTTAAAGGCATAATTGGCAAATGTTTAAAAGGTACAATTGGCAAATATTTATATGCAAAATAATATTTGAAATATATATATGATTAAGAATTTAAAAACTTAATTCAACTATCCGATCTAAGTCTTACTTTGCCTACCTACCTACCATATGAAAAAGAAACGACAAAATTTCGTCGGAAAAGAAGAATAGTGGCAACACTGACCCATTTACAGCTTTGCCAGTTATTATCGCAGCTCTCATCTTAGCTCTTATTGCAGTTCCTACATAAACACATACAAGTGATAGCCATTTATAATTTTCTTTGCTATTATCGCAGCTCTTACCTTTTTCATTTATAATTCATTCCTTCTTGCTCACCGTACCAGGCAGACGATGAAGGTACATGTTTGTGTTGTACATATTTATACACATGCATATTTATTATACATGCTTACTATACACATATGATATGAACATTTACCTTCATCGTCTACCTGGTACGATGGTCAAGAATGGCTGTATAGTACATTGAAATTTATTCATGATGATGAATGAAAAATTATTCGTCATTCGAAATTACTGGAATGGTGAATAAAAATGTATTTGTAATTTGAAAAGAAAATGTATTCTTCAATAGAGATTACTAAAGCAATAAACACCTTACCTTACACATACCTGAACTCACCTCATCTTAAGTCAATTCACTTCAACCCACATCAGCTCACTTCATCTCTGCTCAGCGATGCAAATCAGAAACCAGACTTTATTTTTTGAGATCCCAAACCAGTCCCAAAAATCGTAAGAAGTCCCGCAAATCCTGAGTTTGTACCGAAGAAACTAAAGCAATTAACACCTTACCTTCCACATACCTCAACTCATTTCAACTCAACTCAGCTCACTTCACCTAACTTATACTCACTTCAACTCAGTTCACATCAGTGG